TTTGGGAAGGGCCATTTTTAACTGTGGGCAGTGCTTTGTAGTTGGGCTGTCGACACGCTAAAGAACAGGCAGGAGATATGCAAAGTTTAAAAATGGAAGTGCTTCTATTTGAGGGCTTGCCAAAGAGCTTGGGGTAGTTTAGTTAGGGAGAGAAGATGTCTCAGGAAACAGGAATGGCTTTCAGTTGTTTAAAGGACTATTGGACAGGAGGGGAGTTGAATTTACTCATTGCAGCTCTGTAAGTAAGAACAAGCAGTAATGGAAAGATATTAATGGATTTTGGAAATGGAAAATTTCAAAATCTCCAAAAACATAAAGTGGATTTTGGCAATGGAAAGCCAAAATGGATTTTGGCTGGGAATAAAGGATCTTTTTTTTTAACTGAAATGTCTGGAGTTCCATGAGGTTCCCTTGTAGTGTAGAGAACAGTTTGCCATAGGAAAATTCCAGCTGGGACTGAATGGCTGAATGGCCATTCGCAAAATTTACAATGAAAGAGAGAATTCAGGATTGGGATGGAATGGCTAACTTCTAAATTTTCTTTGAATCTAAGATTCCATGATTTCTCCTATAAATAATATCAACTCCTAGGCTAGAAAAATGCCAACCCACATTTTGACAGAATACAATAGAAGTTAAAGCATTTCAAAAATACAGTTTTATGAAAAATTTCTTCTTCCTTTAGTAGAAAAAAACCCCACATACTCTACAAACTGTCATTGAGAGAAGACATTTCCAAAAAGTAAGAGAAACAAAAATTTATTATTCTCTAAATTGGAATTGACTGTGATTAAGGGTTTCATAGCCAGGTGGTCCACTAAATTGAAAAAAAATTTCTGTAATGATAGTCTAAACCCAGAGTGCAATGAATTCTATTGTCTCTAAATTTCTAGGTTACATGAAACTGAATAGATTCCTTGAGTTGTTTAAAGGAATAAATCAGAATACCAACTCTTCTCCCAAACTTTTGTAAATGAAAAATGTTACCATGGCACCTTCTGTGAAACCTAACCTTCAGTTCAGACATTTTATCCACCACTCTCCAATAAGCTAGTTCTTTCCAAAACTATATAATCATGTGCATATTTTAGATTATTCTTATCTAGAGGGTAAGAACTGCATCATTGTAGTTTGTCATTTACCACAGCAAGCAGATGTTCACCTTCAATAATTGTGTCTTAAACAAGAAGGGACAAGGAAAGCCATGTAGTTTGAAATCCTGGTTTAGAGACTCCGTCAGATGTACTTGGACATCAGTGAAGCTTCTCATAATCTCCTGCTCCTTATGTAATATAAAAACTTTAAAAAATGTAAGCATACATATAACCATTTATTAGCTCTGTACTCTAAGTGGATTACATTTATAAAGAGCATTCAGAAGAATCCAGTATTTTCTGCTTTGCAAATTGTATGCTTAAGTTATTTTAAAGACACTATTTGCCACATAAGTACAAAACATACTTTCTATCAATTTTAGAGTCTAACCTGAAAGAAACACAATCGTGAATGTAGAGTCTCATGTAAAACCCTTTTAAAAATAATTTTGGAAATGTAAAACATTCAAAAAGGTCCAAAGAAGAAAATAACAATGATCCACATTCCCACCAGGAAGAATTAACTACATCTTGGCATATTCTCTTCCTCTATTCTTAGGAAGCATACTTAAAAAAAATCATATGTTTATTATTAAGAATTCAAATAAGGCAGAAATTACAAAGATGACAGTTTTTAAAAATCTCAAATATTACAATTTCCATTGTTGATCTGAGGTGAATATAATTTCACACATGTATCTATCTGGATGGATATTTCAATATAAATACTTTTATAAAAATTAATAGAGATGCTATTTATAACAAAAATAATTAATTAAAAAATTCAAGTAATGGAAAGAAACTGAATTAAAACTAAGCAATGGTCGAACTTCATATACATTTACCTCATTTCAAGATACATTATTTAAAAAAATCTATGGCTAAAGTATCATGAAAAATATTAAGAAGTTGGTGCCAATTGTCATTATATTGCTTTTTTATGAATTTTCTACTTTAGACAGTATCAATTGATTTCTTTTTTGAAAGATTAGCACTTTTGAAACTTCCTCTCTGTACCTCCTGAATATTATTAGATGTATGACTGTTTTTACATTGTTTGGATTATGGTATTCTGCTTGCTCTGTGAATACATTCTGAGTTGTTTAGTAGTAGTTCCATACTTAATTGAATGCATTTGGTCTTTGGGCATGATATCTTTGTGCTTTTTGTTAATTTATTTTACATACTGATAAATGACATCTCACTAACTTGGCACAGTCATTCATAATCTGTAATATTCAGGGTCTCTGAAACTATGTAAACCATTGTCATTCATCACTCTAAAGTTATTGAGTGCCTGTTTGATGCTAGACACTGCTGAACTCTAAAAATTCAGTGTTGAATAACACATAGTCTTTGCCCTCAAGAAGCAAGAGCAACCACAAAAAAAATTAAATTCCTGCTGTGTTAGCTCCATGAGAGCTGTTGTATTGTTTCTTTATCCTCAGCGACCTTAATCAGGGTTGATGTCCCATAGGCCCTCAGTACTTGCTTAATTAAATGGGGCTTTAGGTGCCAGAAACTCTGGTGAGCACATTAAAAGTTACATCTAATTTTATCTTGACAACAAACCTACTAGGTGGGTATTTCTTGTCTCCCATTTTATAGACAAAGAAGCTGAGTCTCAGTAAGTACTATCCCAAAGTTCTACAACAGGTTTGATTGTTGTATAAACTCATTCTCTTTTCATGGCACTTGGCCTGGGTCATTTATGTTGGAAGCCATAGAGGAAAGGGCACCTGGAGTGCTGATTATAATACAGAGGGTGAGTAATACAGCAGTGCACATACAGCCTGGAGGTTAAGAGGCTGCCTGCTGTTGAATCTCCACTCTACCATTTATTCACTATATGACATTTAGTAAATGCCTTCTCTATGCCTCAGTTTCCTGTTAGTAAAATGGCATTTACAGTGGGAGAGTTGAATGAAATAATTCAGGTGAAATGTTTGGCATAACACCTGTCATAAGTGCTCAGGAAAGAGTAGCCATTAATGTTATTTTTACAAAGTGCTTTGGATGCTTGAAGGAAGAAATAATGTTCTCCTCAGGATTTTCAGGGGAGGAGATGTTTGCACTTGGTTGTGCTGGAAGCACAGGAATTCATCAGGTCAGAGGTAGACAGAGTCTTCACAGAAGGAGAAACATGAGATACAGGACTAGAGATCCTGCTGAGACACACAGTATGTGCGTTACCCTGTTCAACTCCTGAAACTTCCTTCCTTTATCTGGAAGTGTCCAAACAGCAGTATCTGTTTGAAAGGCTGCCTTGCAAACAGATCATCATATCTTACTGGACCATCTTCCCACTGAGAAGGTGAATTAGTCAGTGTCTGTACAGCTCTGAGGAAACGTGAGGTGACAGGGCTGTTTTAGGGTTACTGGTCTAGGAGGCCAAGGGCCATCCCAGGCCAGCTTAAGAGCACCTGATGGTCCTAAGAAGGAGAATGCAGCCTGTCTGATAGTTTAGAACAGTGTTTTGCAACTTTTTTTCCATTGTCTCTCTCCTTTAGGCTTTTCCCTAATTGCCTCTCCCATCATGAAATGTTAATACCACAGATAAACTGCCAATCTGTTTATGTACTGTATGTTTATCCCTACTTTATACATAAAGACAATAAGATTTTTAACCTTCTCCCAAGAACCAGCTTGAATGAAGCAGACTTCCGAGGGCCTTCTCAGGTGAGCTGCTGTTCTGTGGCTGATCCGAAACTTGGAGGCTCTAACTACTGTGCTGCGAACAGCTGCTTTTTATTGCACTTTCAGGTACACTTCCACATCAGTTCCTTCTGGAAAAATCATCTGGCTACTGCACTAACCTCCCTCCTGGTCCTGGTCTCTCTCTGTTTCTATGCTTGCCCTTTCAGTAGTCTAATTTCCAGGCAGCAGCCTGACTGACCTTTAAAAAATGTAATCAGATCATGTCTCTCCCAGCTTCAAACTCTCAAATAGCCTCCCATTGACTTAGAATAAAATCTGGACTCTTTATCATGGCCCCCAAGGTCTACCTGCTACTGCTCCCACCTACCATTCCACAGCCTATGTGCAGGTGAGGGTGCAGCCACAGACAGACGAAAGCCAGCAGGCAGAAAGTCACAGGGGTTTGCAGCAAGAAGCTCTTGGTGCAACTGCTGAGAGGGTGTGAGTCAGCACCAGTAGCAGTGACTACAGCACCAAAGGGCACAGAGATGGGCTTGTCTTCTGGGGAAGTCAGGACAGAGTGCTCTGAGAGAGCTACGGTATGAAAAGTGATTACGAGTTTAGTATGGGCAGAAGAAACAGCACATATGGAACCCCCCTGGCAGGAGGGGGTGACCTGCCTGGTGAGCCACTGAAAGGTAACTGCAGCCATGGCATGAAATGAAGCCAGAAAAATAGGTATGGGCCCAACCACCTAGGGCCTTACAAACTAGATTAAGGGAGGAATTCTGTTTTAAGAGCAAGAGAGCCAATGAAGAGTTTCGACTGTGCATGACTAGCTGAGGAGGACACAGGGCAGATTTTTGTTTGGAAAAACTTGCTCTGGTTGTAATGTGAATGACCGGTGAATAAACGCAGAGCATCTCGTGTTGGTTTGCCAAACACTTTGTTGGGTTTAGCACTCAAAGGCCTACATCCTGGGAACTCCTCAGTCATGGGAAAGCCAGCACAGTTGGTTACCCGAGTTATCCAGGGGAGATATTACAGTTTGTCTCATGAAAGACGCAAGATCTTCTGTTCCCTCAGCTCACGTCAGAAGTAAGAGGGTCAGCATCATGCTTCCCTATTTCTGAAAACCCCTTAGCACTGGCCTCCCCACATATACCTGCAACATAGCTGTGTGCATGCACACACACACATACACATGCATACCCATCCCTCTAATGTGCAAATTGTTTCAGGTAAGCCTTGATTATTTTTTCTCTGCAGGCCTGGTGGCTTCACATTCTTGACATCTCAAAGCCTGGAGCCTGCCCAAGTGAAGGTCGATCGAGGTAAGAAGGTGGAGTAAATCATCACCACACCTTGTACACTGTCATGCTGCACCTTGGCCTGGGCATCTGTGTAGTCTTTTCATTCCCCTTCCTGGTTTCAGCCTTGCTTTCCCTCCTATGTTATTAGCCCCCTGGGCCCACAAAAGCTTCAAAAGCTTGCTTTTGGGCCACGTTGTACTGCAGAGCACTTTAGTAGCTCTCAATTGCCCCTGAAATGAAGTAAATAACTCTGCTCTTAGCTTTTAAAATTGTACCCTTCTTTAACTCTTCCCACTTTTTCTAGTTCCCTGAGACAGAAGGCTTTTGTAGCTAAACCATTAGAAAGAATGGAGGGAGGAATCCTGTTCCTCTAATCCTACTGTAAATACCTAACTGGGCCCACTATGTGCCAGGTACTCATTTTAGACCCTATGTATACATATTTACTAATATTTGTATTAATAAATGGATCACACACTGGACAGACATTTCCTGTGCACCCATGATTTTCTAGTTAAACTCCCAAGCACAGGACATAGCCTGGAACAAGGCTCCCCTTTTCATGGTGGTTATGTTTACCCTGAGTTAGGGAGAGACCAATAGATTTATATGATGTGGCAGATGACACATTCCATAGGGACAGATGCATTAGGATAGGAGCTGGAGAGTGACACTGACCACAAACACTCTTAGAGTCACCAAGGAAGCCTTTTCATGACACTTCATCTTGAGCAGGCATCTAAAGGTAGCCAGAGGTTAAGTCATAAAGATTCTGGGGCAACTTAGGCAAAGAGAACAACAAAAAATATATATATTTTTGGTTTATGGTAAAATCCTGAAATCACACTTTTCATTTTTCCCACAGGCACTGTTCAAGGTTTCATAAATCCATTTTATCCTTTTGTTTATCATCTTGGAGCATCAAAAAAAAAAGTTTTTTCTTCACTTTGCATATTCTCTACTGTCACTTTGATCTTTAATGGAAATTTTGGTATTAATCTAGTCTTTCACTGTCAAATCTGGCTTTTTGTATTTGTATATTTTTCCCTCCTTGATACATGTTTTAATGATAGAAAGCCAATCTTGCTCCGATGACTTTTTGTCTACCCTAATTGTTGTGTTTGTTGAAAAGTAAGACTGGAGCCATCACTGTTGCTGGCTACAAATAATAATGATGCTGGCTTGAATTTCCAGGCAGTAATACAGGTTGGATTTGTATCTTCAAGTAATGATATTCTGGTCCATTATTTACTGAATGTCTGCCAACATTTAAGGCATGTACTATAGGGAATACCAAGATGGCAATGATGACAGTATCTCCCTCAGGAAGCTTTGGTTCAAGTAGAATCACAAAAGGTTAATTGGCAATAGGTAAGGTTTGCTGAGATTCTATTCCTGGATAATGTGGGGCTGGAACACAAAATAATAGCAATTACTCAAATAGCCCTTATTATGTATCAGACACTATGTCGTAAATGCCAATAGGGCTATTGAGTATTATTATTACCTGTATTTTATGCATGAGAAAGTGAGGCACATAGAGATTACATAGTTATGCTAAATGGAAAAGCTGGATTATGAACCTAGGCAGTACAGGTTTGAAGCTGTGCTAAGGGGTAGGGGGTACAGATGCTCTGGCCCTCAAGACTATGAGGCACAGAGCGAGCCCAAGACCAAGCAGTAGCTACCTCATTAAATTATTTTTAATTTTTTTTATTTCTTTGACATATCTTCTTGTAGAGTAACATAAGTATGTATAGGATTTAAACTACTAATTAAATTGTGTACACACATTAACATAATAGGAATAAGCTGCATAACCAAAGCAGACCTACAATTACCAGCCATATCCAGTGAAACCAAGAAAACCAGTTAGGCACCCTAGGCATTTGTGAAAACTTATCAATGATATGATGGATATTGTCTAACTGAATTTGAATAGTTTGAGAAAAATCAGACAAATTAAAACAACACATTCCTGGGAACTGTTCACATCCCATATGTTCTTTTAACAGTAGATAGTCTATAGTC